CCCTAATCAGCTAGGAAGCTTCCAGTGTGTTTGAGGGGGGTTGTGTGGGGTGTGAGGGGGAGGTTGGGCCGGTGAGGACCCCGGAGCTGTTGGGTCCGTTGGGGGCCGTTGGGGGGTTGAAACCCGTTGGCGGATCTCGAGCACCGAGAGCTGCCCCTTCTCTCTCTGGGGGGGTGTTTTTTTTTTTTTTGCTTTTGGTCCCTTCTTCCCTTCCTCCTTCCAAGGAAACCATCTCCACGGCAACCTCAAACCTCCAGGCTTTGCCTCGGAGCTGCTCAGCCGTCCCCGGGACCCTGGTAAGTGGCTCGGGCAGGGCCGGTGGTGGTGGTGGCCCTTTTGGCCCCTGGGTCCTGGTGTGGCCTGGGGAGGCGAGGGCTGGAGCTGGGCTTGGCAGGGCGGGTGGGCGGATAAAACCCCGTCCCTCCTCATCCTCAAGGCTCTGTGTGGCTTAAACCTGGCTGTCCATGGCCGGCCTCGTGTGGGAAGAGCTCTGCCCTGGCGCTGGAGGGGGTGGAGGGGTTCGGGGTGAACCCTGGGGCTGCTCCCTCTGCTCTGCCTGGGGCCAGGGATGTGTCAGGGTGTGGTGGCTGGTTGTGTGTCCCTTGGTGATGGTCTTGGATAGACCGTGAGCAAGCCTGATCCCAAATTTCCATCGTGTTAGGGAGAGCAGCAGGGCCAGCACCTGGAGACGGGGGCTCTGTCCCCTCTTGGAGCTGCCTGGGCTGGGAGCGAGGTGTCACTGTGGTGCTGAGCCTTGTGTCACCACATGGGCACATCCCCAGCTCCACGTGGAGGCTGATGATGCACCAGCCTCGTGGAAATGGGTGCTCTGAGATGCTGTGGGGGGGTCTTGCTGGGGGGGCTCGCTGCTTGCCAGCGGGGTAACCGGGATAAAAGTTGTGGAACTGGAGAGGAAAGAGGTGCCTGAGGACTTTTCCTGAAGCTGGTTTTGGGCTGAGAGCTGAACTGGAGAGTGATGGGGCTTGTGGGACTGACCCTGCCTGTGCCTCTGTCCCCCAGGGCAGGATGAGGCTCCTGAGCGCCGTGTTGGTGGCTCTCAGCCTGTTCCTCACCGGTGTCCGGGGGAACAACACTTCCCGAACCTGCATCTTCCAGACCCTCAACGACTCGGACAAGGTGTTCTGCAAGTAAGTGGTGCTCTGTGTCCTTCCTCACCTGCACCAGCCCTGGACATCCCATCACGGGCTGCCCTCAGCGTCCAGCGTGTCACCCCCTGGGACAGTAATTCCAGTATCCCCTTTTCCCAGGAATCTGGGCTGTTTCTGGACACCTCAGGTTATTCCCTGGCCTGTCGTGTGTGGGGCTTTAAAAGTGGCTTTTACAGAACCAGGATGTTTCCCGGGGAAAATTCCAGGGGGAAGGAGGCTGCTTTTCCATAGAATCCTGGAATGGTTTGGTCAGATGGGACCTAAAGAATCTTCTTGTTCCACCCCCTGCCACGGGCAGGGACACCTTCCACTATCCCAGTTTGCTCCCAGCCCTGCCCAGCCTGGCCTTGGACACTTCCAGGGACGGGGCATCCTCTGGGAAATCCTCACCTCACACACCCTTCCCTCTTTTCCAGAGGGGAGCTGGAAGTGATCTACCCCAACGTGGGGGACGTGTCCTGCTCCTACATCCCCAAGTGCCACGGCTACCGGCGGCAGATCAGCCGGGACTGGGGCAGCCCCCACGTCCGCTACCCCTGGGCTGAGAAGGTGAGTCCTGCTCCAACTTCCACCTTCAAGGAATTTACTGGGATTGGGGTGACCCATCCAGCCTTTTTTTCCCATTGCTTCAGAGGTTTTGTGCAAGGCTGAGTGTGGATAAACTTCTTTTCCCTACATCGTGGCCATTTATTGTTTTTTCTTTTCCTACATTGTGGCCATTAAATCATCTTTTTTTTTTTTTTTTTTTTTTTTTTTTTTTTTTTTTTTTTTTTTTTTTTTTTTTTTTTTTTTTTTTTTTTTTTTTTTTTTTTTTTTTTTTTTTTTTTTTTTTTTTTTTTTTTTTTTTTTTTTTTTTTTTTTT